GCAACTCGCTCTGGATTGTTGTCTGTTCATTTGTGTCTTTTTTTTATGGATATCATTACGAATGTAGCTTGTTTACGATAGGCGTGCTTGCATGCTGCTGTGGAGATACCTGGGCAAGCGAGCTTGGTTCAGTCTTATCTTCAACTCCTAGACTAATTACTACTGGCAAAATAGTCCCGCCCGGTACAAATGGAGGAATAAGTATTGGTGGACTAGTGGCTAGTTTATTAGGTGGGTTTTTAATAGGAACAGCTTATTTCATAGTGCAGAATTTCTTTGTTGTGTACAAATTCACAATAACAGAGTGTATCCTTCTTGGTGCCATTGGTGGATTCGGTGGTAGCTTGGTTGATAGTCTGATGGGTGCAACAGTCCAGGCTACCTTTTATGATTCAAAATCGGGGAAAGTCGTAAAGAAAGGGGGGATTTTGATATCAGGTTACCCTCTATTTAGTAATGAAATGGTATATTTGGTTAATAGCAGGTGAATCTACTGTCTAGTTTGACAACTGGTCTGCTGTTTGTCATTTTAGGCAAGCTGTAGTGTATTTAGAAACAACATTGAGATTATTCTTGCGCTTGTCGGTATTGAATTAGAAATAAAACAAGAATATATTGGGATTATTCTTTGATTTCGTGGTATGTCAGAGTTCTTTTGTACTTTACAATAAGAAATTAGAATTAAGATAAGGATATATTAAGGATTATTCTTCGCTTTCGCGGTTATGTCTGAACTTCTTTTGTATTTCTAGATAAGCATAATCTGTAAAAGTAACAATCTGAGGAAGAGAATGTTTTTCCAACGGTCCTCCAGAGACTGTTCGATCAACTCGTTTAAGGTGCTGACGTTGGTTACAAATTTCACTGGTGAAATTATTGTTGTTTGTAATCTTTTTCGGTAATCTTGGTTTCGAGATATTTAAACGTTGCGTATTGGGATTGGTATTAATTGGCGGTGGAGGAGGAGGAGGGATTGGCGGTTTTGCAATTGGTTTCATAGATTCATTGATTACCAATGGTGGGACTGAAGATCTTTGAGGAACGTAATTGGCTTTAATTTCCTTTTGAGGCTCCTTTATATCCGCAAATTGAAAAGTCAAATCTTCTTCTAGACCATACGTTGTTCTTAGAGACATGTATTCCTTCATATATTCTTCCAAAGTATCTATTGTCTTTAAAATCTTTTCCCTCAGTTCCAACTCCTTTTTCTGGACTATTTCAGACGTGTTGTTGTTGATAAACAGATATGAGAGCAGGTAATCTACCATTGACTCTCGCTTGTACTTGTATTTCAATTTGATTTGAGAAATATCGTGAAGTAATATTGCGAGGAATGACTGGAAATCGTGGTTTTGTTGATAAGCGATAAACGCTTTTGATTGCGTGGAGAGTTTTATTGTTGAAACGAAAGCAGATTCCGCAAAATGAGCGATAATGTTCATTGATTTTGCTGGACGTTGATCAATTGGCAGATCATACAGATTCGACTCTTCCAGTGATTGCATCGCGAAAGTTTAAAAATTTTAATTCCACAGCGCTTTATCAAAACCAAAACGTTAATTCTGATCCATAATGGAAATATGTATTAGAGTAGTGAAATTGTATGGTGCTGTGTGAGAGAATGTAGATATCAACTGCAAAGGTACAGCATCATTACCTGTGGCTTTCAGCACAAATGTTTTATATACCAAAAATCTTTGACTACAAATGAATGTCGATATTCAACCTCCGAGTTATTTTCCAGTTCAATATACACCAGTTCAAGAAATCAGGTCCAAGCTAATCCATACTTTTTCCTAACCTAGGATTTGTTCACATTTCTACTATTAGTTTCATCAGGAAGGACAATTCCTCCTGGTCCAAAATCCCTCTAGTAACATTAGGCACTTTAAAGGAATATCATTCAGGGAGAGAATTGGGAATTCTATCAGACATGTCGCTAGAAGATTATGTGCGCAAATATCTACCACATTTCCTATTAATAGGCGACTATGCCATCAATCCAGTTTCTATCCTAGCTATAACTCCATCTACCAGCCGAGGATGCAAAATTGACATTCTTCACACCACCACTTTATATTTCGAAGTAACCTGCGCAGGGCTGTTAGAAATGTTGGACAGCAGAAGCAGAACTATTGCTACTTCTGATTTGCTGAATGTAAATTTAGGTTATGGTCAAAAAATAAACTAAACAAATTTACGATTACATGAATCAGTATTAGATATTCTTTCAGCAAGTCAAAAATCTGATAGAGATCTCAAATAATATCAGTGGCAATTCGTGTGCAGAGCCATTTACGTTGAGGATGTGTCAATGCTACGCCACCTTCCTCTATGAAACTATAAAAGCACAACGATACTTTAAAACATCTATGGTCAATCCTCAAGATATTGCTCTTCCTCCATCGTACACTCCAGTTACCTTTGCCCCATTCCATGCACCAGCATCAAATTCAAAGAGGTTCTACTTTGTAAACATTGCCAATATTTCTTACGTTTCATCGGTTCGTTCTATGGTAAGAGTGCAGTTGGCAAAGCACAGTCAAAGAAAAACTATTGCTCTGACAATCCCGCCTGGTATTACTTTTGACCAGTACATTTCAAAATTCTTGCCTCACTTTATACTAATTGGGAATACAGCTCTTAATCCTGCAAATATTCTTGAAGTGTATCCAGGTGCTGCTAATTCTACAAAGATTGATATGGTTTGTGAAATTGCAGGTAGAGGGGAATACGCTTCTGGTACTGAAACTGTTACTTTGGAATTTAATACAACTTGTGGTGAAGTGCTTGAAAAAATATGCTTGCACTCGTCTGTAGAAGCTGCTTCCCAGTATCCCACAGTTGATATTGGGTTTGGACAAAGATTAACTAAATAAATAGTGTTGATTTAGTTTCTAGTGTGGCAAGGTTTTCTACACAGGAGAGGTTAATATGGCTGTACCAAAGTTGCTTTTAAAAGACAGAATATTTCAGGATATCTATGACTACAGATTCTGCCATTGCTCTTGTACCGCTAAGAATCAAAAAGAATGACCCCATCCGTAAACTAAAACTAATTTAGGTTTCGTACTAGTTTCCCACATTAGCTATATAGAGAAACCTACCACATCATGGGACAATACACCTAGAGTTATTCTCACCCTTGATCGACAGGTTAGCAATACAAAAAGAGATCATTTCTGTACACTTGATGGCAAATCTCTTGAAGAATACTGCGCATTGTATTTACCAACCTTTTTACTTACTCGCCAATTCGCTATTAATCCAGCAAATATAGTCTCGATTTATCCTGCTGACAGTGGTACTAATATTGATATGCTGGTTTTCCATTCAGCTGTTGTTTTTCTAAATTGCACTACTATAAAAACGGATGAATCTTGTGCTCAAGTATTAGCCAAACTTTCTAAAAAGAGTCTTGAAATTGCAGAGAAAGACTTAGGAAAGATGGACATTGGCTGTGGGCAAATAATATAAAAATGACAGTTGTATTTAGAAGCTACTTCAATGAGACTCCAATGCTTATCCGTTCATAAACTTGATTTTCGATTGGTACTACCACTGTATTGACAATTCGAGATCATAGTCTCGCTCATATTTGAAGCAGTAAAATTTTGCTATTGCGTTCGTAATTATCTGAAATATCCATGAATTCCTTCATTTTAAATGGGAGAAACTCAAAAAAGAGTTATGACTACATCAACATTAATTTGGTGCTCGTTGGTGATTATTTGATTCTCTGGTTGAATCTTAATCCTTTTCGTTGTACTAAATTTGATAATCCCCTTCCTTCGCCTTTCTATTTGAAGCGTTTTCAGTAACAACTCTGCAAGCGAAAGCGCTACAATTTCTTGTTTCAGCTCCACACTAATATATCCTATTCAAATCTTAATTTCCTGTTTCAAAATTAAAGCTTCTTTTAGATTTCATCGTTTATGAGTAGGTAATTTTCACACTATAGATACCAGTTGGAGATTGCCAAGACTGATTAAATATATTTTTATCAGATAATACAATTTATTGCGATTTCTTTTCCATCTTTTTCCACACTCCTAGACATCCATAGCTAGCATTCGGCAGTGTCCTGTCTATCGCCATACAACATTCTTCAAATATTTTAACGAATTCCTGGCATTTATCTTGGTTGTAGTTGTTTCTATTGATACAGGCTTGGATTGCACAAGCATACTTTTTGCATGGGTATTCAGTTACTGCTTGAGATTCATACTTGCCCATAAAAATTTATAGATGATTTGGAAATCTATTGACTTTGGTAATTCAGTTAGGATCATTTATACCCATGTATCAAGTTCTAATCGCTATTGATTACTTTGATCTTTCCAAAGTTATTATCCTTTGAACACCTAATTATTCGTATTGACTACCTAATCATTGATAATTAGCTATTCATACTTTATGGCTGCTATCTTTAGAACCCAAAGGTGGAATTTCATTATTTGGAATTTTGAAATTTTTACAAATGCAAAAACTACCTTCAATCGATCAATTAAACACTCTCCCGGAACAAGATTTCATTCACGTAATCAACACTCTATTCGAAACAGCTCCTCCACTTCAAAAGAAACTGATTGAAAACAAACCGTACTCTTCGTACATTCAACTAATTGAAAAATCGGATGAATTGATCAAGCAGATGAATTTACAGGACCAGATAGCTGTAGTTAATGCGCATCCGCGTATCGGTGCTCCTACCCAAACCCTATCTGAACAATCAAAGAAGGAACAAGGAACTCAAGTTACTCCTCAAGTCCTAGAAAAACTAGCAAACCTAAACAAACAATACGAAGACAAATTCGGCTTTAAATTCGTTGTATTTGTTAATGGAAGAAGCAGACAAGAAATTGTAGGTGTAATTGAACAGCGCATGTTCAATTCTAAAGATGACGAATTAAAAACTGGGTTGAGAGATATGATTTTGATTGCCAAAGATAGATTATCAAAGTTGCAATAAAGGTGGAAAATATTTCCAATTAAAAAAGTGTTTCTTGTCGGATTTGAACCGACATCCATCCCGGTGTGAAATCAGTTACGGTGGGCTGCTCTACCAATTGAGCTAAAGAAACAGCACTGAGTCAATTTTGTATTTTTCATAAACCAATCACACTTTTAAATAGAGTTTTCAATACCAAACCGCATTGTATAATACATGGTCTAATTACTTTGCAAGAGCAATGATATCAGATTTAATCAACTTTATCATAAGTTACTGGTTCTCTGTCAAATATTCTGTAACCCTAACCGATCGTTGCATAAAAGTATTACGTAACTCGAAAAAGCATGTTTAGCAAAAAACAAAAGGATAAATCTACTACTAGTCTAGTTTCATCTTCAAATGAATCTTTATCGAAAAAGAAAAAATGGATATCGTTGAATGACATTGCCAAAACCCTTCAAGTGTATACGAATGGCATAGATGACTCTATCCTCGATATTTCTTACCATAGAGACGCGTATGAGCATGAAAAGAAATAAAGAATGCTTTAAGATTGTAATCTTTTTTCAAACAAGTGCTGGAACAGTAAAACTTGCAATTTGATTAAACAGTTTCAGTTAAGCCATGTCAATTACATTTCAATTCGATCTAATCCATATCCGATATGTTTTACCGCTGTGCCACAGACCAAGTACTAAAACCCAACAATTACAATCTCCGATAATTAATACAAATATCGATGGGGAAAACCGTCAATACATGTTTATCTTGCAGAAAAAGAAAAATCAAATGTTCAAGGGATAGACCAAGTTGTAGTTCGTGTTTAGCCTCCAAATCAAACTGCCTCTACCTGGATCAGCCCAGTAACCCAGGAATTTCAAAATCTGGTCCTCAAAAAGGACGAAAACAAGACTTGCAATCAGCTGCGAGCAGAGCCTCAATTGCTAATGTAAATATACTACCAGTAGAATGTTCCAATGAAGCAGATCAAACGACTACTTTGACTGGAGAAATGGCGGAAAAACTAGCCTTAGAGATGATTGCTGAAGCTACATCTATACCTGTAAATATCTGGAAAGCTGCAACCTTATCCAGCAATTTATTAAGGTATTCGATAAGAGGGCTAGGATATGATCAATTAGATAAAATAGCCGAAGCTTCAAGTGCTCTAAAGTTGGCTTCACTATATTTGACCGAAGTGTTATCACACCCTTCTGTGGTTGGGGTAAAAGCTCTTTTATCATTTGCGAAATTGCATTTCAGTAATTTGAAATTAAATTAGGGCTATCTCGAATTGATGAAGGAACGGCTTACTATTCATACGGTATCAATATGGCAAAAGAAATTGGGATAAATCGTGAAGATCTTTTATCTGAATTGTGCGGTAGCGAAGAACAAAAAGAGGCATGTAGAAACCTGTGGTGGCATATCTATAGTATGGATCAATTTTTTAGATTCAAGAATCGATCGGTTTTGCTTGATCAAGATAACGGACTGTTCTTGCCAGATTCTACTCCTTCTGCAATGGAAGGTACTTTGGACCTGGGGAGGTACATCCTATCTTCAAGTGATTGGTTTACTCCTCCGCTTGAAAATCAAAGTATATCAGCATGTAAAATTCTATTAGTAAGAATCTTGGGCAAGATATTACAGTTCCATAGTTACTATCACTTGCAAAACGATGAAATCAATGTAAAATATGTAGTTTCAGTTTTAGAAAGCTCGCTACAATTATGGTGGAATCATCTTCCCGATAGGTTTGTACAATACTTACCATGGATTCAATTCGGTGGACAGATAACAAAGGGTGAGAGTTTACGAGTGTTTGAAATCTTGTTTCTTTATAACTTTGCCAGAACACAATTACTGTTGCCGCTACTACTCAGCAATCAATCAACAGTTGATGAAGAAAATTTAAAGTACTTTTTGCAGCTGACGGCTATTGCAAATGAAAATGTCTCTGTGCTGAATGTGATTACGAATCCTGTCAATTTGTTACTAGCCCCAAACCCTGTTTTTTTGGTACGATCAGCTAACACTAGTTTCCAATATTCCATACAACCGTATTGATATACCTTGCTTCAGAAGCGAATTTACCAACTTTAGTATCGATGCAACTAAAGAAATCGCTTAGTGTTCATGTGCATTGCTTCCAAACTCTATATAGCGGCATCAAGGTTAATTTTTGTTCTATAATGTCCGCATCTTTGGTATACTTGAAATATTATCCTTATTTCAGCCGGCTGGCTGATGAATTTATCAAAAACAACATCTTCAAGAATTGTAATGGACAATATGACACTAAAACAAAAAATAATCCCAATATTTTTGAATATATCAAAGATCCTTTTGAAGATGTAAATCAAATATGAAGAATTTCGCTACTATTCGCGTTTAATAAAGTATTTACATCTACCGATATTGTTTCACACCAAGATATAAACTTGCAAAGCTTTGAGTATCCAAGTATGATCTGATGAATATCGTCATGGATAGCATAAACACGTTTATTTACGAAAGACTCAAAGTAACGCACCAGGAGTTTCTTTGCTAATCCAGCTATCGCTCATTGGATTTCTCAGTCTAGACTTTCTGGACGTTTACATTCATGGTAAGCTTACATTCTCAATTTAGTTTACTAGTATCCTTTCAAATTTTGTGGACATTCGTCATTACGCGATCTGAGTGGCACAGTATGGGCTGAGCAACCATGCATTTTTCCTGCCACAAATTTGGATGTTTTCAATATAAATTCAACACGCATCATCGAGTAAATTATCTTCTCAAATGTTTTTCGAATCTGCAAATAAAGTCAAGCAATCTCCTCTCGAAAAGAAACCTAGCATATCCAGCTTCTTTTCCTTAAAGTCGAAAAAGTCTACAGAATCCTTAAAATCCAAAGCTGAAAAGAAACCGTGGGTTACTTTTTCCGATATCGCGCACTCACTTAGTATATACTCTCATGGTATTGACCATTCGATGCTCGATTTGTACTATCGAGAAAACACTATGAACTTGTATGATTAATAAATTATTATTTTTGAATATATCGTAAATTTATTTTCATGTCCATTATCTTAAAATATTCTGTCTTGCCCTGAATATTAACCAAGACATTACACGTCATCCAATATTTCTTAATGTCAAATACGTCGTATTTATTTCAAATTTGCGACTTTCACATTAACTATGCCAACTGTGGACCATACACACAGTACTTTGAACAGGTTGACCACGTTGCAATTTTTCTTTACACAGTTACAACTCTATTTTATGCAATTATCCTTCCAATTCAGCTCGTTGGCGTGGGTATAACCAAAGGCGTCCCTTTATCCAAGTGCTGGGGTAACATGGAGAGTGCGATGATGATGAACATTACTTTTCAATTGATTCGTATAGGATTTCACGTAAACTGTAATTGTATCTCACAGTAGTGTCCTCAATTTCCAGTGCCATAGTATCTGCATGGACAGACGCCGACATCCTGAATTATTTGCATACAAATATTGCCTTGGAATTTGTATACTACATCATTGGTGGGACTTCAGTAAGCACCTTTGTATTTTCAATAATCGATGTAGCTGACGCTAGCCATTTGTATGATAAAATCAAAATTGGAGAAAAGGTTGTCGACTGCGGAAAGTTGTTGAAGCTCTTGCGCTTAATTGGACTAATTATTTTCGTTACTTTCGCGAGTTTATGGGCCACCAAAGGTGACCTGTACTAATCCAGGTCTTACTACCGACTATCAGACATACAACTATTATCGGCGATGCTTTTATGGCGGCTTTGGAGTGCTCTCAACCTTTGTTTCCTTCCCAATCGTTTTGTTTTTTGGCAACAAAATCATTAAAACTATGCTAGAGTCCGAAAGTGTTTCTCGAGGATCAAAAGACAACGACCACACCAACAAGTCTGATTATAAAAGTGAAAAGACAAACACAAACAGTATCATTCAGACAAATGCGGTTTCAGCCGACCAAAAATCTGCTACCCGACAGTCAATGAAAGACCGTCGCGCTTCCATTTCAAAGAACTTTAGAGAACTAGCCAAACTGAAGAAGATTAGTGATGCGACTAGTTTTAAATGGCTACTCCGAGCAATTGCATTTTGGTTATACTTTATGTTGGGAATCTCAATCGCCGTGATCATTGTGGTCCATGAGACTGTACAAGACCGAATGAGTTTATTGGTAACCAAATGTATTACGGAGTTATACATTTGGACCTCCTCTGCATTTGCAGCTTTGTACCTATTCCGAAGAGCAATGAATGCGCGAATGAAAAAATGAACTACTCTTGCTTGAATAAAGATTATGAAACTATTCTTGCTTGAATAAAGATTATGAAACTACTCTTGCTTGAATAAAGATTATGAAACTACTCTTGCTTGAATAAAGATTATGAAACTATTCTTGCTTGAATAAAGATTATGAAACTATTCTTGCTTGAATAAAGATTATGGAATGTATATGCTTGGTTTCATGCTGATTCAATTTCAATCTGGCTGGTTAAAATTTTTTTTTAAATTCCAAAATGCACAGGATCAGAAATATCAGGAATTTCAGGCGCATGTCAACGGAAGCTGAAAAGGTTTCAATTGTGAACCCGCTACCGTTGGTTCCTCGATTAGAGACTCATTATTACGACACATTGTATGACGATTTAATGATTTTGACTTACGACCATAGCTCACCTCAAGCTAGTCTTGAAAAATTGGAAAAACAAAAGTTCTGGAAGTCCAACTTGGATGCATTAGACGAAAATACTTTTACAACACCAGTCGCAGATTTACCTACTAAACCAACAACCAGTATAACTTCAAATTTAGCAACAGTGATGTATGAACACATTGGTCTACCAATATTTCCAAAGATGATTAGAAAAAAGTTGAAGAATCCTATAGATTTCACTCCTATTAAAAAGGAAGAATTCTTGGCCCCAGCTGAACTTCCTTCTGCACCATACTACACACCATTTCCTAATAGGATCCCAGGGCTTAAAAGAATTCAACTTAAAATATGGGCAGAAGAAGCGGTTGCCAACAAGTATCAGGTGTTTAACCTAGGTCTATTTTATTATCCGCCATAATGTCCTTACAATCAATTACAGGGAAAAGGCCAGTTCCAC